GTGAACGGCAAAAAATCGAAAGAGGTAAAACATCTACTTTTTCCTCTCTTATACGAATGCTTAAACTCCACAAGAGCTTTAAATTGTAGCAAAAGCCGCCGCCGTCATACCTGTTGCACCATTGCCACCACCTCGCAATGAAGAACATATGCATCCTGGTATCAGCCATGAAGAGGTGGTGACGTCTGTAAAATTACGTCAAATTCCCTGTATTCACTTGGGTCACCGAACTGTTCGATGCATTTCTGAACACACTGATTTTAGAGGGGTAAGCTTTACTTGGTTGTTGAATGTTGAATGGTTGTTGCATTGAATCAGGGCAACCCCATCCCTTTTTCACTCAAGAAGCTTTTCGTTTTCATCATACTTCATCTATGAATATTATACTAGTTCTTGTGATCACAAATTTGACTCGCATTTGTTTGCCCTATGTGATACGGTAGGAGCAAAACAAACGGTTTTAAATTGTGCGCCTGCCTGATATTGGCGTAAAATTTCTATTCAACTCAAGTGTTATAACCACACTCTGCAACAAATCAGTATATAAACGCTTTGCTTTTAACAAGAGAACGATACTTGGTCGAAGTGGCGATTTAAAATGTGTTGCATACTTTTACAGGCAGCTTCAGACGCTGATTCCAAATCTGCCTTCCATATCTGCGAAGCGTTTCTCTGGAAGAAGTTTGGGAGCTTATCTTTGTTGAAATTAGCCTGTGCTCCTCGTCAATAACTGTTCTACAATATTGAATCCAACTAACAATAAGCAAATGGTTTAATATGAAGACATATTTTGTATCTAATCAGTCTCCGCGCTGCTGTTTTGGGTCAGGTTCAAACATCTGAACATTTTAATCCAGGTTATGTAAGCCATTTTTGGTAGAGAAAAGCCAACTTTTTCCAGGAAAGCGCTTCACAAATAAGGAGGGTATTTAAAATCAGCGTTTTAAACTGCATGTAACATTATGTATTACTTTCTGAATCGTCACTTCGACTAAGTATCCTTCCCTTGTAATTACAAATCCTAGATCCTTCCTCACTCTATGCTATGATAAGTGTTTTACCCAGTATCCCTACTTTGCTGTTTGTATGAGTTATAAGAAAATTTTGAGATAGTATCTTGATACTGTATTCCTTCAACCTCACTAAAAATCCGCATAAGCCTACGATTTCTCAAAGAGCAATGTTAAGGATCCCCCTGAGGGTAGCCGAAATGACAATCCGGTGA